CTGATTTCATCGTTTCCCCTTCTCTTCACGACTGTGTGTGGTCGTGCCACAGTGCAGGCAGGTGTACGTCGCGTTCGTGTGCCGAGGAGCAACGAAAGAGATGCGATCCACGATCGGTCGACCCAAATTTAGATCGGATCGAGGAAAAACGGGAGGCCACGGCGCGTGCCTCGCGCAAAGATCATCTCCGAGATAGAAACTTTCACGCGTGTGTACACGATCTACAATCGTTTGTTACTCGAGTCCCGATCGAAGGAAGCTAGAAAATTGATTCGCGGAGCGATGGGTTGAAACCGCGCGTTCCTGTTCCAGACGAAAAATCGCTCGAGAAGCGTCCACGCGTCGCGCTAGACGACGAGAAGCGTGCGAGAGAAAGAAAGAGACAGACGCGCCGAGGGGAGAAAATCGGGTCGTGGTCGCGGTGTCGGGTGGAGAAGGAGGGAGGCAGAGGGTCGTGTTGACAGGAGAAACAACACGAACGCCGCTGGGTTGTTCCGAGTTGCGAGTGTTGGGTGGTGGGGGGTCGAGCCGAGTGTACGCCCGCTGGTAGGTTGGTCCGCGGCGGTGGGCGTGTCCGAGCGGGACCGAGCGGAGCCGACGGCGCACGATCGGTGACGAACGCCGGTGAACGCGAGGGGAACGCCGAGGCCGGTGTTTTCGTTCGCCTTAGTTCCGCGCCGGGTGCCACGATAGTCGCATCGACTCGAGTTGACGTGCGCGCGCGCGCGTGTTTCCAAAATCTCTCTTTCTCTCTCTCTTTCTCCCTCTCTCTCCCTCTCTGTCTCCCCTCCCTCGAAACGGGCGAGCGAGAGAAAAACGGGCAGACAGGCAGAAGAAGGAAAGCGGGAGGAACGCAGACGCGAGAACCGCGAGTACAGTTTCGGAGTAGCGTACGGTTTTTCCGGGACGCTATTTTTTTTTTTTCCGCTGGGACTACCAGCTTGCGTGTTGTTCATCAACCGAAACCAGCTTGAGAGATCGTACTGTTTTATCAACGCACGGACCGGACACCGGACTGAGGAGCCGGCCCTCGCCGCGAGATCAACCCTCGGAACCCCACGATGTGCTGTGTTTGTGTACAGTGCAGTGTCTTGTTGGTGCTAACTTAGTGATAACACGATAATTAAACACGCCCACGAACCGATCAGACGACGCGCGACGAGTTATCGCGCGATCCACCCAGGATTGATAACAGACCAGGTAAGAGATCGTTCGGATCGTTTCAGTGGGGTGGGGGGATTCGATCTTTCCTTCCCCTTTTCATGGAGTGCGCGTTCTCAAAGTGACGGATTTCCAGGAAACAACCGACGTTCCGTGAAAAATTCCCAGAATCCCTGAAATCGAAGAAATGTTTTTCTTTTGTTGAGAAAGGTCGTTGACTCGAAGCCTGTTTAGAGGCCGTAGGAATTCGTTAGCTGAGAAAAGATGGCGCCGACGATAGTCGGTTTCACTGGAAATTAAAACGTCGGTACGCTATAACGGAGTTGAGCGCGCGCTTCGGACAGTCCCTAGGGAAACTCGAGAAAGTCCAGTTTTCCCGACCCCGACGGCTCGAGTTACCGATTTCCATGAGAAATTAGAAACCGATCGAGGAATAATAAATCGTTACGCTCGATTGCGTAACGGGTCGATTTCTCGGAAAGCGAGAAAGAGGAGAGTCGGAGTCGAGTCGATCGGATTCCGACGGACCAGGTAGAGCGGCCGATTCACCGGAAGGATTTTAGAACGTGTCGTTAGTCAGGGCTTTTCTTTTGTTCTTCCAATCGTAAAAGTGGTCATCAATGACGAGAAAATGAAAACTCACAGCGGACGCTTTTCTTCAAATTTTTGCAACTCCAAAAACGGAGTGAAGTTCTCCAGAAACAAACAAATTCATTTCCTCTTTTTCTTTTCGAGGCATATTTCGATAGCAACCTGTTCCTGGAAAAGTGCTTTTCAACTCGATTCCGATGAATCTTAGCTTAGACTTTTTCTTCAGGAAAGCCGAAAAGAAAAGTAACTGCTCCGTCGTAGAAGCGTCTAGCGGAATAGATGGTCGATTAACAATAAACGCGCAGACGGATTCCACGGTGCGTTTTACGGCGGAAAACAAGCAGTCGGTTCGCGAAATGTCACGGTAGAGCGATCGTTCGGCGGTTTTCGGAAGGGAAATGGCAGGGGGTGATAGCCGCGAAAGGGAGGGAATATCGGCTGGCAGTTTGCGTGGCCTATAATTGGTAATTTGCAAGTATAATAAACGGCCGCCGCGCCGGTTTCTGTTTTCATTTATTAGCCGCGAAATGCCTCCGCTTATTAGCGCAACGATGCATTCAAAAGGAGCGACTCGCTCGTTCCTTCGCGATGAACAACCCCTTCTTCCATTCGCCAACCGTCCGTCCAGCTTTTTCTTCTTTCCATTCTACTGTCACCGGGTTGCGTTTGAAATCGAACGGAGATACAACTCGCCGCTTTTTCTTCGAGAGGGTTGCCGAATGGATTTTTCCTTATTCCTGATTGGAAACAGAAAATCGCGTTCGACAGGTTAATTGCCTCTACTCGGCAACGTTTCTGTCATGAAATGAATCAACGATCAGTTAGATCATTATTTGATAAGAAAATATTCCCGGTAGAATATCGAACAAAACAACAATTGTTGGTTACACTTTTTCAATGGAAATCATCGAATCTGGTAATCCCATAAGATCATCCTTATTGTAGAAACATCGACGTTAACATCCTCTTTCAACGAAGCTATTTTTGCCAGTCTAATGGTTTCGAGCACTTTAGTGACTCGTAATAAACCGCTTTGATAGACCTTTAATAGCACTGCATGTCTAATGAATTTTTATTCATCATTAACACGTTGACCGCTACGTCTCGGGTATTAACTCTATTCATTTTTCTAATTGAACGCTTCAATGATCACCGGTTAATGGTATTCTATCTTAACGCCACTCGTTTCAACTTTTTGCCCGTCTATTTATGATACTTTAATACTAAAATAGAAGACAACTATAATTGGAACGCGGATAGTCGAGCTACTTATTCATTCCGACGAGATCCAGTCGATCGAGTCGTTGAAATCACCGATAACTTTACGTATTCGAGACCGTAGGGGTTGCTTTGGTTCCACTTGGTCGCTTCCGGTTTCGTGCCTCGGCCAACGTCCCTTCGTCCTTCACGGAATCCCGAAGGTCCTCAGGTATCGCGTTTCACCTATGGTACCTCGATCCTCCTCGATCCGACGGCCATGTCTTCCAAGTCATCCGCGTCTCAAACACACTTTCCTCAGCTTTGTTCCGTGAATTTTTCAAGTTCTTTGTTATTTACTTTCAAGGACATAGATTAATGCTCTGGATAATTAGTTGAGGAATCTGATAAGTGGGTTTAAAGCTGCTGAGGATAATCTGGGTTAATGGCACAGGCGAACTTCTTTCGAATTTTTCTTAAAGGGTTAATGGATTGATTGTCAAAGGGGTCTGTTAATTATTAGGAAAGGAAGAGTACCATTAGTATTATAATAATAATATAATATTTTCACTGTGGCAGTTAGTGTCTTAATTTTCGGATGACGGACCATGTAGAGAGACCCAATTTTAATTCAATCTTTTATTTCATGCTATTATCATGTTCTAAATTTTATACTGCTCTCTTAGAAATTATATTTCCCATATATGAAACCCTAAAAAATCATATCGATCTCCATTTGAGTAAATATTAATAATTTTCTATCTTAGGTAGTTGATTTTCTGACGACGGACCATGGAGAGAGCTCCAATTTTAATTCAATTTTTATTCTATATTTCACGCTACTTCTTCAAAAACCTTTTCTTCCAAAAATTATACATTTAACTTCAGGCTAATAATCTTGCAATTTTGGGTCACGATTGACCCAGGGTCTGTTCAAGGGTTTCACCATTTTTCTTTAGGAAGAAAAATCTCTCCTAGTATCTACCAAATAAGTATCAAATAAATTATTAACGAGGCTCCCATAGAAGAAGACATATCCCTATGTTAAAATTCTCGAACAATGTTGCTGCATTACCATTCAACGACGAACTTGTAGCAATGCATACGAGGCTAGAATAGAGTCGAGTGAAAAAGGAGTGAAAACATGGCGTATAGAGGGTTGGTACACCTTGTATCTCAAACTTTCTCATAATTAACTTTCTCGTCCAAATTTTCCTACCACCTCCACTCGAGTCGCTTAATCAAACCTTCCTACGTCGAGGAATCCTCCACCCTGGACTTTGCTCCAGCTCGTTGGCGCGATGATTTTTTATTTTTTAAACGGAACGGAGTACCGCGACGCTGATTTTGTTCGCACGTGCGCCGCGACGCCGTTTTCGGACACGGGGAACGAAGATTAACTGGCCTCGATAAGATTACAGTTCGCGATACGTGATCAATCGCCGTTCGTCGATGGAGGTGTATGTGCTTTTTTGTTCCTCGGACCTGGTGACGTAATTCGATCGGTTCCCGATTAATTCGCGGACAGATTGTCGAGAAACGAGTATGGAAAATTGGCTGGAGACAGGAAAACGTCTAGGGCTTTCTGCCGAAATTCCGAATCTTATCTTAACTGGTCCGATAACTTGCGATAAGCCTATCGTTACTTTGCATCCTCTAACGATTTATTGAAATATTGTTCTGCTCGAAATCGATAGATAACGAACCTTGGATCAACTTCGCTTCCTTCTCTAAAATCTCCTAATTCGAGCTTTTCAACCCTGGGTCAATCGTGACCCAAATTCAAAGGAATAGTGTGAATTATTATTGGGGCTCTCTCCATGGTCCGCCGTCCGAGAATTGAGGAAAATTAAATGTGTAATTTTTAATTAAGAGAAAATATAAAATGGAATTATAGTAGGGGCTCTCTCCATGGTCCGCCATCAGAGAATTGAGGAGACAGTCACCGCGAAATTAAATGTATAATTTTTAAACAAAAGAAAATACAAAATTGAATTATAGTGGGGCTCTCTCCATGGTCCGTCGTTCCTAGGGTGAATCTCAGACTCTATTTCGAATGTGATTTGACGCAAATTTTCCTCGAACCTTTAAAAACCGTCGATGGTTTCCACTTATCAGTCCCCTTATCTCGTCCAGGCCCACCTCACGATTTCGAAGAGTGATCGGCCGTCGATCCAGCTAACACTTTCCGAACTTAAACAAATCTAAACCACGTTATTCCGTTCCTTTCTCCTAATAATCAGTGAATTTTTCATTGATCGCTATCACGATTACTCTGTGCAGCTCGAAACTGTAACAGATCGAAAGGGTTGATTATTCGCGGTTGGACATGGTAATTTCACGTGGACATGGAAAAAATTAATCGAACATTTGTAGCCAATTTCGGAACGTAATCTTATCACCAGCCTGTTTGTGTATATCTTATCGCGGATCTTGTTCTCGAGTATTTTATTTGCCGCGGAATTTTGGAAGATTCGTGTCCATAGAGTCCAGGAAAATCTATTTCTCTCGGAAAATAAATATGCTGTTAAATCGGTAGAGGCGGCTCGAACGCGGGAACCTTCCCCAACAAATTTCAATGAAATTAGCATCGATTGAAAGGAAAGATTTTCCAGTCGGAAAAATCGAGGTTCGTTTCCCTTTTCCCTACTCCGTCAGATTTCTGTCCATCGATTGGCCGATCGACGATGGTTCCTGTCCCGGTGATTACGTCATCGATGACCTTGATCATCGACGGTGTCCGGCGGCCGATTGATAAATCATTTGGAGGCACTCGATCGTCGAGTGGCCGAGCATCAGTGTCGTCGGCGTAAAGCGCAGATCGGGAGCTAATTAACCGAGATCTCTCGGGCTGATCGGTTATCGTGATCGCAGGAACGGGGTGAGTCTTGGCCAGTGATCCGCGCGAGTTTCTTCGTTTGTTCGCGCGTTTATCGTCGATCCAGGAGATTCGTAAACCGTCGTGCGATCGATTATAATCATCGGAGACCGCGTTTGCCCAGCCCACCTGTTCTTAAATCCCTGGGCAACGATGTCTCGTTATCCTCGCCGTTGCTCGTTCAACCGATTCTCAAGTCAGCCCGTCGTTGGGCTCTAGAGAAAAATACCTCCGTATCCGTTTGCAATCGTGTAACGAGATAAACTGACCGTTTGCAACCGGATTCCGCGGTTTTCGTTGGAATCGTCTCGCCTTTCCGTCGGTGTTCGCTTACTTCTCACCTGGCTCCAGTTGGTTACGTAATAGAACGTCAAGTGCTCTATAGTTTGAAAAACACCGAGGTACCTTTCCGAGTTAATACCTAACGAGCATCTGTTTTTTCTCGTTCCAGAAGTCGGGCCAGGAGTAAGATCTTCCTCGTGATCCACGCAGCGATAGGATTTACCTATGATTCCCCCGTGCGTTCTCAGGAGGACCACGCTTCCGCAGAAGAAGCGTATCTGGCATCGTTCCTAATCCCCTTTCCGCTCCCCCTCCCAGCGTCCTTGATTTTCCGTACGCAAGTTTACCGGTCCGGGAAACTCCTGGTGCACCTGCCGGCAGAGCAGAGGGCTCCTCTGCTCCGAAGGAGCTCGCGAGAGGACGATTCTCAATATGGACATGAGCAGCGAGTCTAGCGCGGCCAGGTGGTACGAGCCGCCTAGGTCCACGCTGGAACCACCCTCCGGGGGCGCCGGAGTGGCCGGAGTCGTCGGCAACCCGACCGATTACAGGGGTTACTACCCCCACGCTGGACCCACGGCTCATCACCCCGCCGCCGCCGCAGCGCACTACGCTCACAGTAAGTTGCGACCATTTTCTAATTTTCTTTCGTACACCCCTCGAACCCGAGGGTTCGAAACCAGTCGCGTTAACCCTTTCGTCTCTTACATAAGTACATTCGAGCGGACGTAACGCGGACGAATGGTATCTTCATTTTCATGAACGCGTTATCTAATCTACGAAGATAAGAGAATACGATAGATGGTTTAAGGCTGCGGAGAAATCGGTGGAAAAGTAGATTTTCACGATTTTCCGAAAATAGTTTATTAATTAAGGAATTAATCGAGGGGGTTACTGACCTCGACGCCTCTCACCCTCTGGTTTATAAAAAGAGCCGGGAACGGTCACGATAACTACCCGCCTCTCGGTTTTCCTTTTTTCACGTGTCTCTCGTGACTCGGTTCAACGGTCGGCTAATGGTATCTCGGTTCAGCTTGTTAATTACCGCGGTGCTGTTTAATTACGTCGCCGTCGTGCTGTTCGGGGCGCTAAAAAAAATTCCCGGAAATTTCGCGAAATTTCCGAAGGATTCCGTGTTCGCCGAAAATTAGCGCCCTCGATCGGTACCCGGGTAAAGAGTACCCGTACTCGTTAACGCGATCGTTGCCATCGGTTAACACGGAGGAGAAAAAGAAGGGACCGAGGAGGCAGAAAAAGCGATAGCGCGTACACGGTCTAGGTAATGCCGATAGTTCTCGGTTCTCCGTCGCTGGCCAAGCATGAAAAAGCATCGCAGGGCCCGAGGGAGAATCGGAGGGCACAGCAGAGTGAGAGGGAATAAGAATAAAGGGCCGGATTCAAGAGGGAAAGGGGCCAAAAAGTGTGCACCGAGCAGGCAGGAAACTCGATACAGCCGGTCGGATCTTGAGCGAAGCTTGGAACGCGATATCCCTGATTCTCGCCGACGTGCATGGATCATACTCGGCCCTCTGTTAACTCGTGCTGCGCTAAAAAAAGCAGCGCCCTAATCGCAATCAAATCTCTATCTGTCGCCCCGCGATCCCGGGGCGACTTCTTTACGACTTCTCCTCTTCCTCTTTCTTTATTTCGTGCCTCGCCACGGTGTTTGACCTTCTGACATCCGCCGGTCCTCAGGAATTCCCTCGACGGTCTGTGAGAACGCGGCTTACTTTTCGCGTCGGGACGGAAGCGTCGGTCGGTCGGCGTTCGATAAAAAGACGCTCGAAAATCGGATAGCTAGGAGACAAAAGGTTAGAAGGATAGGCGAGGTTGGCCCCGTGGAAACTCGTCGGGCAAACGATTCACGGAGGATGTATCTGTCCGCGTGTGATCGATCGACGAAAGTGCGACGCGGATCGGGGGCATCCAGCAGGGTGGCGCGACGGTAGGCGAGAGCGAGGCGAAAAAATAAACAAGACGAGCGGACGCGATGCGAGCGGGGCCCGGGATGCATAATACACAGAGTGGTTGCGGCAGACAGGAAGGAAGCGCAGCCAACCGCGAAGCCCACGGGCTCTCAGAGAGGTGCATACGTAATTGCAGGCCACGCGGGAGGCGCTGCTTTTGTAGGTTACCCTCTCTTTCCGTCTCGTCTCTCCACCCTTTCTATTTTCTTTCTAGCGTCTATTAGAGCCCTTCTGTATTCTCTATAAAAGGAAGGAAACATTTTCTTCCAACGCCAGCTATCGTTTTCTAAATTGGAAAGCAGTGTTTGAAAAATTGCCCCGGGCGATAAGTGATTGCGCGACGGGCATCGGGTTGAACGCACCCCTTCTCCTCGTTCCACGCCCCGACAAGTTCACCCCCTCCCCCTCTCTACGCTTAACCCCTGCGAGCCCGCCGCGTCCGTCTCGCTCGCTCATCGGGACCGGTGTCTCGCGAGCAGCTTGCAACTCGACGCGACCAAGAAGAGGATCCGGCGCTCGAACGCGGCGCATAGGTCGTGCAAAACCCGCGACCGCCGCCATCTTGCGCAAATGCACACGCCAACCGAAGGCGGAGCCTCTCCCCAGGGCTCTTTCTCTCTCTCTCTCTCTCGCTCTCTTTCTCGGTACGTTCATCTTCCCACCCTCTCTCTTTCTCTCCGTCCGTCTGTCTTCCCTCCCTCCCCCCCGCGAGGCTCTCGCGCGCGCGGCAGATGCAACTCGCGATGCTGCTTCACCGCGATCAATCTTCCTCCTCGTTGTTGCCTCCCCTACCCTCCTCGCCCTTCTCTACCCTTGCCATATATATATATATACCCTTCCTCTACACTACGATTCTCGCGGTCGCTTCAAGTTGGTAGCTTCCTCCCGGTGTCACGATGCAGCCGCCCTCCGCTCGCGGATTTTTCGCGGAAAGGTCAACCGTCGATATGGACATTTTTCTTTCTTCTGCTCTGTCGGGTGTCTTAGCAAGAACGATTTAGATCCAGTAATTAGTCACTCTGACACTTCGCCTTAAATTTATACCAGCGAATCGATCGAGTAATTAAACCTAGTTTACATATGACTCCGTTTACTCTGTCAATGTAAATGAGGCGTTAGGTTGCTCGAAAATTAGGATCGGGTATTTTTAAAAATTCGGAAGTTTGTCCAGTTTATAAATATATTCGGGTACCCGATCATTACCCGACCCGAGACTCGGGTACCCGATTCGACCCGGCCAGTATCCGACTCCACCCGAGAATTACTCGACTCGATTCGATCATTACCCGACCCGAGACTCGGGTACCCGATTCGACCCGGTCAGTATCCGACTTCACCCGAGAATTACTCGACTCGAGGCTCGGGTGCCCGAATCTTCCCTTATTAGAAGCAGACACCTAGTCAGACAGATCGCAAATAGATCCCGTCGCGTCGGTACAATATTAATGATATTCAGAGGGTTTTTTACGTCCACTTTTTCCTTGCTCTCGTAAATAATCGTCGTCCGCTAAAGAGAGCCGTGGGGCAAGAAAAAAAATTGGAATCAGCAAACCACGGTGGAGCGTACAAGAAGGGGGATGAAATTGCATGTTATTACCAGAAAGCAGCTAGTGGCGGTCGACGAAATGAGACGTTATTTTCTTCTGGAATTTCGTGTGCGTCGTGAATTTGATTACGGAGCCGCGCGATTCTCCTCGATCCGCTCGATACACTTTCGGTATCCCCCTTTTTCCTCGCCTTTTATTTTCCATCGTAATTCGACGATTTACGATGTGCCGCGGCATCGAGTGTTCGTTAAGAAAATAACCGTGTTCAATGTTAACGCGTGTTTAATGAGAGAGGCGATCGGTTGCTCGGTAGCGTTCAACGAACTTCGAAACCCGACCGTTTTACACGCGCTTCGGGTTAATTGTTGGAATCGGTTGTTGCTCGATGACTTACTCAAGAAACCGGCGACGTAACGAGAGAATAATTAGACGCGTACAGCTCTAGAAAACGCGGTTGGAAACGTTGCTGCCACGCTCGTTCCATCGGAATACCAACGACTCGCGCATAATTCACGCGATTTCCTTTCCCGACGCGATTTTCTCCGAGGCTCGCTCGACGTGAATGAAACGGCCGCGTTTAAGCTCGATTTATACCGTCGACTCGGTTCAGACAGGCGACCGGTAACGATTATCCTCGTATAAGGACACTTATTAGTTACATTATCACTTTGCTGCATACTCTGGCTAGACGGTCTCGTGACTCAGCCGTTTGTTTATGTACTTTCATGGCATAAAGAAATGTAATGCTAGTTTTCATCTTCCAAGATCGTTGGATCACTGTCTGACGCATTAAAAATGACTTCAATTAGCGAGAATCGTTTTAGAAATTAACGATTGTCCGAGTGTAATTTAAATAGAAAATTAACATTAGGAAGAAATTAGAATCCCAACGTTTTTCAGGGCTCCTCGCTTTTTATTCCCTGTCCGTTTCGAATAGCTCGTCCTTTGAAAGCTGGCCGTCGCTTTGAATCCTTTCGAGCCTTTGAATCGCTGGGCGACGCGACGCCTCGCACAAAAGCGTCGCAGAGTCGGCGACGCTCGGGGCACGCGGCTAATTATTTGGAGTGGCCGCTTTGATGTCGAATGCTGACCAAACGGAGATACCACGCTGGCCACCACACGTGTCGCGCGACTTTCCATTCACTCGCGAATTAATTCGACCGCGAGATAAAATTTCGGACGATGAATGAGGGACTCTTCTTCCCTATTCTCGACAGCGCGACTCTTTTGATCGAACGAGGCAATTATAAGATTTTACGTAATTTTCTTGCGTGGTGAATTTCAAGGTCAGTTTTCGCGTGGTACGAGCGAATAGATTTTCCCTCGTGTCTGGTATCAAGATCTCGATATTCCCGGTCGATTATCATGTTAACAGCTGGAATGTCGTAGCACCAGCTTGTCCGAAGTAATATTTTCAGCGAGCGTGGGCGTAAGTCTCGTTCCGAAGTCGTCGCGATCGAGTAAGCGATTAACGAGTTTGATTTACATCGCAAAATTCGTTTCGTGGAAACAGGTTCTTCACGGGACGAGAATCGTCGGACGCGCGTGAATTTTGTTTTCAATTACAGCGACAACTTGTTCGAAACGATTCGGAAGATTATTACGGCGTCCTGCTATAGAACGATCCACTTTCTAGAATCCAACCTTCGTACGCCGGCAGCGAGAGGGGCTAGGGAAGAAATTCGTTAGCATCGGAATGGTGGAAGTTCGCGACGGTGAAAGAAAAAGTAAAAAAGCTAACGTTGGAAAAGCGGCGCCATATTAGAGGCGACCTGTTTCGAAACGAGCACCTTGGGAATCGACGCCTAAGGAGCTCCTCCTGCCTTAACGAGGCCTCGTTCTCCTGGCTTTTTCTCCGTTTTCCATCGGCGTCGCGCCGTTTGCCAACTTCCCCGTCGAAATTTACGAGGGCACGCGCGCCGCGTTGAACGACCGCGATCATACGCCCAGCGATTTATGTATCCTGATTGTTTTCGATAGAACCTAGTTGGCCGACTATTCGCCCTCTCTACTGTCAATTTTCTCAACTAATGCTTCGCAATGTTAAACCACAGTAACGTTAGGAATGATGTTTTAGCCATTCTGATATTCGACCGATAACTAATGGACCTGAATATTTTCGATCGTAAAAGGAATCTAGATACAAGAATACAATCTCTCAGACGTAGAAAATTGAAAAATCACATTGCCCTTTCGAACAGACGCACCAAAAGTTTATAATAACGTAACGAATTAGCGAGGTGGAGGCCCTAAATCAGCTGACGATCGATCGCCATATTGATTCGAGTCGCGCCCGCCGTCGGCCATGGCTAAACTCGTCGAGATAACGATGCGTTAGAGTAGAGGAAGGAGGTAAAAAAGAAAACGAGGCGACGGATAAAAAAGTTCTTAAAGTTAAGGGTCCGAGAGGAACGGAAACAGCAGGCAACAGGATGATAAATATCCTTTAGCATGGAAGTTTTTTGCGGCATACGGAGTGCGAAGTGCCTCTTCTCCTCGTTTCTTATTTCAACATCCTCCAGCTCTTTTACTTAGTATCAAAAAGAAATTCAAACTTTTCTGATGAAGACGTAAATTTCGCAAATTGGACGGCTATCGAGGGTGGTGGAGTTTGTAGATCTCGCTCGGCGCCTGTTTACTTTTCGTTGCCGCGTCGCATCGGTGTAATGCACTAGATCCAATTACAGCCGGGTCATCGGTGCATTCGATTAATTGCGCTAGGCTGCAGCTGCTCGTCCCGTGATATTACGTTTCGCGCTCCTAAATTTAGAAGAGCTTTCTGTAGCCTCGCTGGTGCAATCGCGTGAACCCCGATGACACGACCCCTGTTATAATTATTCTTAAAAAAGAAATTGAGTTGCAATCGTGGTGAATGAATGCAGGTTGCTTCCAACAGGGTTTTAGAAATTCGAATCGCATCAGAAACTTGCATACACTTAGAAATGAAAAGTAGAAGGCGGTACGTTTACGGTCCTGGAAATTAATGCTCGTAATTCAACGGGGGTGGAATTTGGCAAAACATTCTCTCCTTATCAGCGTATGCCGAGGTGGCGGAGCAAGAACTATTCGATATATCGATCGCGTGCCTCGTCCAACTTCACCGTCGTAGGCAAACTTGCACGCCCGTCCCGACGCTCCTCGCGTTTCGAACTTCACCCCTACAATTTTTCCCCGGTCTTCCCACCCTTGATTGGACATCCGTCGAATCGATCGTAGCCTATAAGGGAATTCGATCGGGAAGCAATAACAGCGCCCGCCGGTAATTAAGACGTCTCTCGCGATTAGGTGTCGCTAGGATCTCGGTAAAACCCCGTCATATTCCGTGCACGCGCTCGAATCAAGTTCGTTCTTCCTTTTAACGGGTGAACGATCGTTGTTACGAGAGATCTTGCGCTGTCCATGTTCGTCCGGAACTGGCATTACGTAGCCTGTTCGATCGCCTTTCACAGTGGGGGGAGGCTGGCTCGAATCGGTAATAGGATCGAGAGGCTGAAAGGTGGAAGCGAGTAGGAATCGTCTAATGGTGTTCGATTTTCTGTCCGTTCTTCCAGCAAGGATGTCGAGCAGCGGTGTGACGAGTGGGCCGGTAAGTCAGGTCTGTCGGCCGCACTTTCACAGCTCGGTGCTGCACCCGTGGCTGTCGGGCAGCGGGGCGGACACGTCGAAAACACCCTGGGGATTCCCTACGAGCACAGGCTCGACCGGTGGCACGGTGAACGACGACAAACCGCAGAGTCCGTTAGGCTCTTTACCACCGACCAGCGGAAGCCTGTCGAGTCACGGCGGAGCTGGAGCGGGCCACCATTTGTTCTCCTTTCCGCCGACACCTCCGAAGGACGCCACCCCCGACAGCATCACCGCCAGCACAACCTCCAGCACGAACAACAACAACAGCAGCAGTGCGAACAATAACAACAATAACGGTAGCAACCCTCTGTCCGGTCTGGGGGGAGGTGGGGCAAGCAGCGAGTACCAAGCGGCGGTGGCCCACGCGGCGGTCATGGGCGCTTTCATGCACCATCAGGACGCTCTGGGCGGTTCGGGCGCGAGCTCGTGCGACGTTAAGCCAAGCGTGATGCTGGGACACCACCACCACGGAGCACCGTCGCCGCCGCACCAGCAGCACAACGGGACGACGAACGGCGGGAACGGTGGGAACGGGACGAACGGCGGCGCCGGGGGCACCGGCCAGGTGAAGCAACGCGAAGGTAATAACCAGTCGGGCAACGTGTCTGGCAGCCAACAGGCTAGCGCCGCGCAACAGCAACAGCAGCAGCAGCAACAGCAACAACAGCAGCAGCAGCAGCAACAACAGCAGCAGCAGCAGCAACAGCAGCAACAAGAGGCTGCGTATCAGGGAAACAATGTGGCGGGCGGTGGCGGTGGTGGCGGTGGCGCGAGCTCGCCCTCCTGCAGGGAGAGTTACGCGGCTGCTGCCGCCGCTGCCGCCGCCGCCGCGGCCGCGGCCGCAGCTGCCTCCAACACCCACCATGCCACCTCCGGATCCCAGTACGACCCGGCAACCAGCGCGTATAACATGTACCAGCACCTGCAGTATCCTAGTACCACCCACCACCATCACCATCACCATCTTCACGGCGCCTCCTCGTCGTCTTCTTCGTCCGCGTCCCACAATCCGCACAACGGGACCGCGGTTTCCGGTATATTCGGCCACCACGCCGCCGCCGGGGCCGGCAACGCGACCGGCGTGGCCGGCGTAAACGTCGACTCGAAGTTGTTGGTCGGTCACACGCACGGCAACACGCCGAGTTCGCCGTCCGCGCAGCAGCAGCAGCAGCAAAAGCCGAGGAACAAGTCGAGGACGTCCGCCGGTAAGCGGCACGCCTACCAACCTCCTCCCTTTTTATTTTTTCTTTTTTCTTTATCTTTCTTTCGTTTTCCCGGGTTTCTTTCGTTATGCATTCGGGGAACTTTGGTTTTGGGAACACCTTGCCTTGACGCCTCCCCTCGTGCCATGGAGGGAGGGTCGAGGCAGGGCTTCGTTTCTGTGCAGTCGCTTCCGGTTTTCAACCATCTTAGCGTGCGATACGATAAGTATTAGAGTAATATGTTTGCAGTTAAATGATCAGACAGCCTCCGGAACGATTGCACGTTTTACTGGTTTATGCTTTGGGTTTCTTTGGTTTTCTATGGTTTCTGGTGTACACCAGGTGTACTCGCTTTTAGTTTTAGTATCCTCTGTTTGCTTCCATTTGGTTCTTTCATTTCCGTTTATATCGACTCGAGATTTATTTCTGGGAATTAATCGATGCTCCCTGAATTTTCTTTCAAATTCACGAAGCACCGGGAGATTCTAAAGAACGCGGTTTTCTTGTTATAAATGAAGTCTCGAGTCGCGTTTCTCGTTTTGTTTCGTTCATTTTACCCCTGACGAGCTTTTGGTGGCGGTCGTCTTTCGCTTAACAGTTCGTTGATGAAAACGAAAACCACGTACAATTGTTTTTGTTTCTCGATAAGTGTTGCGACGAGAGGGAGACACACCGACCGTGTGTTTTTTGTATTTTTGCCTCACTGATGTGTTTTTTGAGTGGCACCCCGCGAGAACGTCGAGAGTGAACAGCACCACACCTGATTGATTTTTGTTTTTCGATGAACGTTGACGCGAAGCACGAGATACCCTGAGATGAAACCCGACGAATCTCTTCGATCGATCTGAACGTGCGAGAATCTTATCGGCGATGAATCCTCACGTAAATAACACTTTAATTAGAATTAAAAAGAGAGAAAATCAGGCGGTTATGAGATCGGAAGATTCTCGCATCTTTCAGAAGCGACGGAGAAGATGGGTTTTGTTTCAGGCGACCGGTCCCGCACACTATATATTTTTATAAATACACCAGGTGTAAAACACGTACATAATAGGGGTGCGCGGGTACCCGAGTCTCGGGTCGGGTCGAGATGGGACTTTGAAAGTACTTCCTAAGTCTTCGTCCAGCACGTAAATTTATTCGGGTACCCGTAGTTCCGGGAGTGGAAATCTCGGGTACCCGAATAAATTTTCGAAGTCCTACTCATACGAGAACAAAAATTCCCGACCCGTATCCGACCCGAATCTTCGGGTACCCGCGAACTCCTAGTACACACGCGAGAGCGCGAAATAGCACACACGTACCTATTTTTGTTCCTCGATGTGGTGTGGCTACATGCTGCCGTTTTTTCGTTTTGTCACAGCAAATCTCCCTCTCGATAAGAGTCTGCGGAGCAACGTTTCGTCTGTTTTTCAATCGAATCTACCGCACCTTTGACTGCCGCTAATTAAACGATAAAATTGCTCGTTCGGTGAAAGTTTCAAACGATTCAGCGTGGCGATCAAAGCGTGGAAAGCGAATATATGTAAAAAAAAAAAACGAAGGTTTGTTTCGAATCACTGGTGGAAACGCTTGGAAAAAAAAGAAACATCGAACGTGCCAGGGATCGATGGGAAATGGAAATAGGGATTGGGTAGAGGGGAATGGGAATGGAACGGTTGAAAAATGCCGGATACGTTGATTGCGGTAATAATAGCCGGTCGGCGTCGAGGACGGCGTGGTAAAAATCCTAATTCCGGGAACAATGGCCCGACTTTGCGGCGTGGAAGTCCGCTAATTAAATCGACTTACGACACACTCGGCCACTCGGTGAAGCCAGACGAATCCGTGGACGCGCGGCGACCTCTTTAAGGTTGCCCCCCCCCCCCCCCCCCCCCCCTTGTTTTTCCGCAAATACCAGACACAATTTCGACGAAGTAAAAGTACAGAAATTTGGAAATTTATTAACCTGCTAATTAATACCGCTGTTTAATTTGAACGAATCGCCTTTCGCGCTAGTTTCTCCGTGCACCATTTAAGAATCACAGCCGTCGGGTAGCCTTGACGTGAAAAGAAGGGGTTTTTATTGAAATTTTTCGGCGATTCTTCTCGCGGAACGATCGCTCGGAATCAGAATGAACGGAGAAACAAGAGTGGCCGGGCCAAAGTCGTGACGGAACGCCGGTTTCCTCGTCCTGGATCATAATTCATCCGTTTACGGCAAAAGTGGCACGAGGCGGTCTGCTTCTCTCGCCGGTTTCCATCGAAATTTCGCCTCTTCTCGTAAACGTCTCGCGTGCGTTCCTTTTTTTCTTATTATTTATCTCTACCAGCGTAGCCACCAGTGATTTTTCCAAACAGCAACGAAATATCAAATATCTCGACGAGGGAGATAGAAGGAACCTCGTTAGGAATCGTCAGGTGTATCGTTTATTTGCAATCGCGGACAAGTTTCGGCCACGTCGGTCGCGCCCGAAAGACGGAATATCGTGAAATTGAATGCGAAATGTCTGTCGGAGCAGTTTACATGGGGTTCTTTTGCAGTTCGGCCAACGATCGGTCAAATCTCGAGGAGGATGCAGCTCGAAGGACGATTTCGAGAGAGTACGATTATTCTTCCTCCCCTCCTCCCCTCTTACGAATCCTCGAACAATTGTCAAACTTCCCCGGAACAAAACCAAAAATATTAAATTAAAATTCAGAAACAATGGAGGAAGTTTGAGAATTTCGATGACTAGGACGTTCCTCCAGCATCCCAGTGCTGTTTGGTCGGGGTTAGACTAACCGAACCAGATCTCTCTTACTCCTTCCCCTTCCGATTCACTGAGAAACGTTGTCCTAGCTATTAACAAGCCGCTATCGGACGATCGTGTTCGATCCACGGTCCTAAAGAGACTCTGCTTTTGCTCTGGTAATCGCTTGATATGGTATGTCTGCCAATTGCATGCGACTTCCATCACCTAACTTTGTGATCTTGGTGTATTATCATTTTATACGTTGCTCTCTCGACGCTTTTCATCGTCAATTTTACCTTCGGGCCTTAAAAATGTCGAGGGAGGAACGTTTAGTTGCTTTTCCACCCAAGGTGCATCCTTGAAACGATTTTCAAAACGAATGATACATTTCTTTGGGTATCCTATCGTTTCATCGATCGCATCCGGTGAACGTAGCTTTATTTTAGAATATTTTGTTGAAATTGTTATTAACAAGTGATCGTTGCGCAGAGGGTCGCGAGTGCGTGAACTGCGGCGCGACATCGACGCCCCTTTGGAGACGGGACGGCACAGGGCACTACCTCTGCAACGCTTGCGGCCTCTACTACAAGATGAACGGCCAGAATCGACCGCTCATCAAGCCGAAACGACGCCTGGTAAGTACCTAAGCTGGTAATCACCTTTTTTTTTTTCTTTCCGCTGATGATTATTATTCGGTTTACGAGAAGGATCGAAAGGACGAGATGCCTCGGAGCTTCTCTCGAAACTGGTTTTCAATTTCTCCACTCCTTTATCCGGCACTTTTTAACCCTCGAAGCGTAATTCTTCCCGAAGGGAAGGTAAGGGTGGCGGGTTTCGCAAACTGCCACCCGACCGTTCGTGTTCCTCCAGCGAACTGGCAGCGATGATTCGCAGAATACGCTCGGTGCACCTGGCTGACTCGTGAAACCGTGTCCTTGATCGTTTCCTTCGCGCACACCGAGCGGCACATACTTAATTAATACGCGCGCACGGAACAACGGAGTTATGTGTTTCTCGCGATACGCAGATGCAGTCATCAGAATGCAAGATAAAACAAGGCCAAGTTAATTTCCTGTACCCGCGACTATTAATACTACCGGTCAGGCTCTTCCCTCTGATCCTAGGGACACTCGGTACGATTTCGTGGATAACAACTCTAGAAACGATAGGAAAGTCCTGATCAGGTTTCGATTTAACGCTGGCACAGGTGTCTCGACGAATTATTCGAACGCGTTAGAAATGGAAATTCGGTATCGAATCGGGATTAGAGGGCAGGAGGAGGAGGCGGATCGATAGGGCGAAGGGTAACAGGGGCTTTCGTGCGATCGGCTCGTACAGTTCGTGTGAATTCGATCTATTTTCGTCGAGCAGACTGGCACCTACGCAGACGGAATAGTTTGGTCCGATATAACGGCACGAAACTCGATATCAGCCTCGTCTTTCTTTATTCCCCTTCGCTGAGAAATTACGTCGATGTTTCGTGTAATCGCCGATAGAGGGACACTCGCGACATCTCCATCTACTTTCTCGCTAGTACTACGTCGTCAACCGGTCCAATGACGTGCCCTAAGCAAAGTTTATTCTTTTTAAGAGTTCCTTTGAGATATCTCGCGTTAAAACGCTTCGTTCCTCCGGGATAATAGTATGCAAGGTTGTTTATTTAAGGGGAAAGTTAGATGAGGCGATTAGCGTAGCGGCGCCGTGAAATCACTATTGTAGCAAATATTTCAGTTGCATTCCTAGGATGCAAAAGCGCATAGCTCCGCTCACACGTCGTTGACGTTTCACTATCCCTCTCGTGCACTTTCTCCCGTGCGCGATAGAGCAAAGCTGATGGATTCAGCCTTTTTCTACCCGCCATCTCGTCGTTTCTTCTAATTACCCTGCTCACGCGCCTTGAGTTTCATTAATCGTCCAGTTTTTTCGATCCTTCGCGGAGAAGAGTGATTCACGTGAAATCGTCGAAAGGAGCGTGAAACTTTTCCCCGAAAAACGAAGGGGGCGAACGATTTCGTCGAGGCGGCCGAAAGCCGGTCAAATATTATGACAGCGCGATGAGTCGTCCCGCCCACCTATCATTCACTCGTGACAACGCACTCGCGCGGATCGGTTCACGCGATGCCTTCAATAAAATATGTATCGGTTTAACCCGGTAGGCGGTTCTCTTATCGTTCGCACGTGTGTCACATTTCGACCACGGTGTAATTTCCTTGCCCCCTTCTCCCGGGGCTACTACACCTTTCTCTTCCTACCACGCGACCACCTTTGCCGGCCAGTTTGACAAAACTTTGTCCTCGATTATGCGATTGACCGTCATGAATAATCGATTACCCTGCCGTCGAAACTTCGTCACAAGGGGGAAAGGCTTCCTCGCCGTACGTAAATTAATGACGACCGGGAGGGGTTGGATCCGAATCGGTCGGTAAAAAAGTCCGAGGCAAGAACCAGTTGCGGACCCCCTTTAGCGCGATGCCCGACGGTGGGCCCCGGGAATAGGAGGAGCGCGATGGGGGCATATGCTTTTTTTTTCTTTTCGCACAATATGTCGTATTTTTACGGGCATGGGAGCGAATCCGGTCACAGATGTGACGAAAGGAGAGAAAGAGGGCCGACGATACGATCTGCGAAACAAAGGGCACCACCACCACCACCAGGTATGTGCACTCTGCCCCCCTCCAGTGTCTCTACCTAACCCCTCCCCGGGCATAATAAAGTCGTGGCACATATCGAGCCACGTGAAAACGCATTGTGCCGACGTGTCTCTTCCACGGAAATTCCAGCCGAGCGTTATTATGAACGGGTACAGTGTTTAACGTGCTCGAAAGCCCCGATGGGGCAGATAGCAAGGGTTGAAACCCTCCTTTCTTCCCCGTTCCCCGCCGACGCTCGACCGACCGTCGCCATCTTTGATTCAACGCGGAGATAGGCTGGAACAGCTGGCAAGTTTTTGGTGCTTCTTTTTTTCCCTTCGCTCTGGGTTCTTCTGTAATTCCACGATACTTCGCGCAGTAAAATTCACGATTTCGTTGCAGCCGAGGAACAGAACTGTAAATAATTATCGGCGTTGTACGCTGACCCCGGTGCAGTTCCTTCGACTCACGAACCTCGAGGATTCGCTCGTTGAATCTGACGGGAATCCTCGAGGACGTCGGCTCGAGGAGAGAGAGGGTGAAAGAGGGAGGAGGAGGTTAACCTTCTGCGTGGAATCGCTCGTTAACGGCTGTCCTACACGCTCTCCCTTTTCTTTTCTCGTCCTGGCGATGGTTATCGCGCGCCACGCCATGCCACGCCATGCCAACCCGTGCAACGATCGTCGAGTTACGGTCCTGCGGCCTTTCCTGGACATTCCAGTGGCAACAGAAGCGCCAGCCACCAGGACCCCGTTAATCCCTTCGAGGAATTTCGAATTCGCCTCTTCGCGAAATCCCTTTGGAAAATCTTATTCTCTCGGTTCATGCGTTAGAAATAATTGAAAGAACGTCGTCCTAGACGAGTCGAGAGAGGTCGCGCTCGCGTTCGATTAAGAAAATGTCGTTTACCTTCGCGAGTACAATGCGCGCGAGGTGTCGGGGATCTCAGATAAATATCTCGGCAGCATTGTGTCTGCGTATGATCCGCGAGACGCGTCCCAGCTGGGTGTCGTTGCCCTCGAATTCGTTTTCTCGAACCCTTTCGTCGAGCCAGGAGATAACTTTCCTCGTTTAATTAAAACTACGCTTCCAAAGTGGCGAACCTTCGAAGGTCCTAGAAAGATTAGAAAATTCTGAAATTCTAGACGGTTAAGAAAGAAGGAGACTCTTCTGGATTTCGTGAGTTCGGCACGGTGGTTTATGAGCAGCACACGCAGTCGTGGTCGGGGGCAGAAACGGCGACTGAATTATGTACCAGATGCAAATGTCGTCGTATTGTCCGGTGCCGGCGGCGTGCTCCATCCATCTTTCAGCTTCCTTGAAAATTCCGCTCATGAGAGACGAGATTTGCATCCGTTCACACTTTGAATACGTCGCTGTCCACGCCGAGATACTCTCGCTATCTTGTCTCTCCTGCTGTTCGACTCTAACTTCATAGAGTATCTCAATCTCAGCTTTTTATACGTTTCTCCTTCGATTTCAGGGACTCTTCGCCTTGGTTCTTTAAATAGAACACCTCTGTTCATTCGCAATTTTTAAGAACATCTTTTGTCAAATTTCTCTCTGGTCTAAAACCTATTTATTTCCCCGAGAGATCGTCAGCCGAGTCAACGCCGGCCGATAAGTTATCCCCGGGCTTCGTTTTGTCCGCTCGGCGATTTATTTCGCGAATTTATGCGCGACCAGGATTGCGTACCTCTCGGGCAGAACAGTCGGAAGCAATTTACAAGTTAATAGGTTACGACGATTCGTTACGTGCTGCTCCCTTGCTCCGCGGTCTGAATTTATTCCGTTTGACCGTCTAATTGGCTCGTCTCCCTTTTTCGATGCCTAAAGGCGCCTTCACACCTCCGTTCGCACGCGACACCCGCTCGAAGCGCCATCTAAGCTGCGCGCGCATCCAAGCTTTCCCCCACCACGCGCATCAATTTGAAACGCTTTTACTCTGTTAAATAATTGGTAAATTTTTGAATACACGCGTTGATGTTGCGTTTAATAAGAGAAGCTGAACGGTGGACACCGTTAGCTTCAACAATACTTGTCCTTTTTTTTTCTCTCTCTCTCTCCGGTCGGCGCGAGCACGGGGCTACTTAAGATTCGGCACGACGCGATTGGACGACCAGTTTCGACTGTCGGACAAGTCGATCGATCATTCACCGACACAGCGAAACAATCGAGCCGCTCGATAAACTACCGTGCGCATTGTACGAGCGACGGGCTTAAAATTGATTTACCTCGTTTTCGTACGCGACAGAAATTGTTCCACGGATAATACAAATAAGAAAACTCGTTCGTTTACATCGGCCGGGATAGATTGTTGCAATGAAATCGAGTGAAATTTTTTTTTTTTTCTCGACGAACACGCGTCTCCCGTGGCAGAAACGAACGGAGAGCCCGGGATTTAGCGCTCGTGAAACTCGCGCGGCCGTAACCACGCGAGAAAGTACGCGAAAGAATTTTTCTCGCGTGAGCCCGTTCGCTTCCGTGCCGGTCTCGCTCTGTTCCGAACGATATTCCTCGGCCGAGAAACCGCGCGAATAAATAATTACGAAGGAAAATCACTTTTCTACGACGATCTCAGCGTGCTTTCTCGCGGAGAAACCGCGGCCGCGGACGAAAAGCCGTCGCACGAAAATCGTGCCCGCTGGAAAAGTCGATTCCGCTCGAAGAATGCATCGTTTCGAGGTCAGCGCACTGTCGTGCACACAGGTGCGCGTCGCGATCGATCGCCATCGTGTGTACTTTACGATTTACATGCTGGAATACCATTTACACGAGCGGGCAACCTTTTCCTTTAATTGTGTTCAGTATCTTTTTCAGCGGTCGTCGAGACAACGCTTTACCTTGTCCTAGACCGATATTTCTCTTCGAGAGTTTAAAATGTTTATCTGAATGTGTTTTAAGCGAGTTAGGTTATGTTTGGGTGGGTTAGGTTAGTTTATTTGACACCATTTTGATGCTGGTACATGGGGACCAATCAGATTATAGATAGGAATCAATATGGC